TAGGGATAAAAAAAATGAAAAAAAAAAAAAAAAAAAAAAAAAAATTCAGTCAACGGAGAAAAAGACAGCCAGATAATTTATCAAAGGAAAAAAATTATTCAGCTTGAGAAGAACAAATTCTCCTGTCTTCTTATCCATACTAACATAGCCATGAGCCATATCTTTATCCTAATCATTTCATGTCAGTGACAAAAATTTATAATCAAAATAAATGAAGGTCTCTGCATCACAATTCTTTGGCCCCTCGAAATCCCGTGATGAACTTAGTCCCTTATAAACTTTTTTTGAAGTCATGTATATCCCTTATACAATCTTTATAAAGGTTCTTCTTTTGAATGAAACTCAATGAGATTCGGAGAGATATTGTTTTCATCTTTAGGATTCCCATTTCCAAGATCAATTGAAAGTTAGATTCTATTTGAACTAATTATTTTAGGGTTCAACTTTTTTTTTTTTAATTTAAAATTTACATGAACTCAATCCCTTCTACATGTTTTCCAATATGAATTGTTAGAAAATCTGAGAAAATATTTGATGATATGGGTCTATTTGTTTAAACTTAAAAATAAGTGTTTCTAAACAAGTGCTTTTAAAAAAAGCAATTCTTTAAGAAGCAGATAGAAGTTACTTCTAAAAAAAGCAAAAAATTGCTTATTTTAAAAAAAGAAGTTTAGACAAACACAAAAAAATAAAAAAGTGTTTATCTTAGAATGTTTAAGTATCCTAGATATTTTTTAGAATTTATTCCTCTTTTATATTTTATGATTTGTTTCCTTATTTAATAAGGATGTTTGTAATAATAGGCATATCTAATTAGAATAATAAATAAATAAATATACAGAAGAATCAAATTTATTAGAATCTGATTTATAGGCATTTTTTTTTATACAGTGGAGGGCTAAAAGCCTAGATTAAAAACCTCCTCTAAAGAAAGACACAGCAGAACAAAGTTTCATATCATGTATATATGAATAAAATTTCCTATAGTTATTGGTATTTACTCTATAAAACAGATTCTATTATGTAGTTTACACACTGTTTCAACATCTCTTACATTTATTTTTCTTTCTTTCAACATGAACCAAAGTATTTCCATTTTATTGATTTACATTTGAAATAATTTTATTGATTTAAATTTCAAAAAAAAAATCCTCAAAAGAAACCGTAAGTTGAGGACGAAAGCTACTAAATAGCAAGTACCAAACCTATATTAAAATGCAACAAATTCCAAGATGAATACATAAAGTAAATAGTCATAACCAAGGGTGAATGTGTTTACCAGCCAGCTTGACAGTGAAAAGGCCAAATACTTGTGGGCAAATTGCTCGTAGAATAGCATTCCTCCCTGGATCAGTTTGAAAAGACTTTAAAGTTTTCATCTCACATGATATACATAAATCATTGCATTCCAGAATACTTTTACAGTCATTAACCAAATTTGGCATGTGAGGAGTCTGGGCAGAATTGGACCAAATATTATAGGTGATGAATTATGCTGTATTGTACAGTCCAGTTTCTCGCAGACTATATAAAATTACAAATATTGCGAGACATGAAAGGTTCAAAAATATGAATTTAAAAGATACAAACAAGACCAAAGGTGTGTTATCAGAATAGCACCTTTTAGAGGTGAATCTTTGAAGTGCGCCCAAAACTGCTTGAATTTGATAACAGTGTCATGCAAAGTATTAATTTCTGACTTCAGTTCATTGATTCTCCTGATAACAATGAGAAAATAAAAATTCAGAATAAACTTGGTCAGATTATTTGCTTTCCTCCCATTGGATCACAGTAGATGACTACAATTTAAAGCATCAGTTCAATTTCTGAAAGCACTTAATATGTGCTTTGTTTAAACATGTTAAGACATATACCGTGTGAAACTTACCCTCTAATAGGCCACGTGTAAATAAGGTTTACAGTAGGGAAATCAAGGATGCATAATGAATCAGTACCCAGGGGCAACGAGTAAGCCATAAAAATATATTCGATAGTGGACCCTATTTCACTAATGGGCTCTGACTATAACATAATAGACACATGGACCAGGGAAAGAAAGGATTTGATTGAATAAGGAGTATAATATAAGAAGATCTAGAAGAGAGGAGTGAGGTGGTAATGCTGATTGCATTGCACGAATTGTATGCTGCTCTGGTTCATGTACTTGTATTTCCCCTTTTTTTCACTGTTACATTTGTGGCAGTAGCATTCCACCATGTCTCAGTTGCAAACAAGGATGGTAGTGATGACATTGCAGTGTTTTCCATGGCTAGTCAGAGGGCTAGTGTGCACAGCCAGCCTGAGAGTACCAGGGCGATGGAGCATGGTCTGCATGGAAGAATGTTAGGACTCAGTTACAAGGTAAGGGGTACAGAGTCCTGCATCGAAAGTATGGAGTTTTGATATTGGATTTATATGGCTTTGAGCTCTCCCACCATAGTGGCTAGCTTTGTGGTTTGGTTGCCCATGGTCTATAGCATTCGCCCTTCTCGTATCGACAGAACAATCATGCAGCCAAAGTTAACAGGAAGGAAACCCAAAAATTTATCCAACCGGATAATGTTTTCCTTCATACAAGAACTTAAAACTATAAGCAAGAGAATCGTAAACATAACATCAATACAGTGCAAAAAATTTAAAACATGGTATTGCAAACAAATCTTGTGGAGTTTATAGAAAAAAGCAAGAAAATTTTCCTAAATAAATGAGTAAAAGTGACCATATACACAGTCATTCCTATTTAATTTTGCCATAATTGGGAAGTAAAATTCAGGTTGGAACATAATCAAAGGGTAAGGATGCTACTACCTCAAAGACTGCTTAGACCAATAGTATACTGATTATATAAGCTACAAAATTTTCATCATTTATTTTAAAGAATCCTTATTAGTTCCACAGAATACCTAGAGTTTCGGATTATATTTATGCTGTAATTATTGGATTCAGATTTAGGAAAACGGGGAACATTGAACAGAATTTCTAACATGAAACATGCGTTCTCCAGTTAAGAATTCATTCTAGTAGAAACAAGGCCAAATCGTTAAAGTAGCCAAATAGAGTAAAGAGGATCAGTGTTTTTATTTCAACATGACACTTCATAAAATGGTACTTAAAATGTATGACATCACTGCACAGATCCAAATTTAATTTAATTATAAAAAATGAGGTTGGCAAGGACTGATCTATAGACCATATGAGAGGGGGCTTCAAGTTTAATACCATGCCAAAAACCCAATCAGCCCCAAAGCTAAATATATTAGTTGGAGGTGAATAAATAGTTGTTTTAACATCCTGGGTTTTAGATAATGACAGTAATGGGAACATAATTAAGTCATTATAAGCAGTAAATTGAATGCTGCGAAGAATAACAACTTCTTGAATGTAAGATTCATATCAAGGCATAACATAGTTAAAGAACTAATATTTGAATAACCTGAAAAGAGAATGATTAGAAGAATATTGCCAGAAAAGGTTGCCATTTCAACCTAAGGTATAACTAGACACTAGATGATCTATAAATTACGGGGGAAATGGGAAAAGTTTCTACATGCATAAATAATATATTTTTCTTCTGACAAACTTTTCCATGGAGAGCACCAAAATGGCTAATGTCAGATACTAGGATGTTTTATTATTTTAAGGTTAACACAATGAAAACTTCTTTTGCACCTTATAGTGTTGGCAATGAATACAGGATCAAGGTCGCAGCGCACATCCTTCAACTCTGGAGACCACTTTGCTGTTAAGACACCAGTGACAATCACATCGTCTGCAAGTAAAAGAGAATTAAAGTCCCCAATAACCAAACATATAACATCAAATATTGCATTTATGAATTCATGACCCTCATTCCCTTGGCCATATACATTCTATAATGGCCAGGACAAAGGAGTGTAATCCTCCATGGGTGAGCTAATTCCAGAAATCCATCCACAATTTAGATAGCAGCATGCAATTTGCCTAACAATCTAATCATATCATATTGTTCAGTAGGTTCACATATAATTTTGTTAATTTTATCTACATGAAAGGTTACTATCAGTATATCTTAATTATTTTTTGATGAAAAAAATAATGCCTGTAGCCCTATACTCTATAGTGTAGGATAATGACTAACAAGTCATTTTGCTTCTTCCATCTTAATTATTTACAGCAATAGGTACAACACAGTATATATATACACATGAGAGAAAAAATGCTAACCTAGAGATTTTTAGGCTACATATCGTATGTAATAATAGTAAGAGACAAATTAGGAAATTAATCCTAATTACAGTGCATAAGAAAATATTTTATACATAATTACTTGCTACAACACACTAATGATTTTAAAAGAAATACTTCCTTTTCATTTTCTGATAATTACCAAAAATAATTTGACAATATTCTCTTCCAGGACTCCAGCTTTAGCTTATGACAGACCATCAAATTTTCAGGAAACTAATGCAAGAAAATAACATTTTCTACTGAAAAGTCCATCTCCAAAAATAATGATCCAATACTGCATGGCTTCAAAATAAATGAACACATAACAAGCTTTCTGTTTATTTCAAAAATTGTTGCAACTTGGGAAGGAAACAGGAAATAGAGAGAAGAAAAAGTAGGCGTGGAATTAATATGGTTTGACGTATATGGTACTATAGACTCACATCCATCGACAAAACAGAGAGAAAATGCATTATGATCAATGAAGATTATAAAGAGTTGCCACTCAACTTCTAAATCCCTAATCCCAATGCACCCTAATGCTCTGTCATTAAGATTCACTATACTCTGCAGCATAAATAGTAATTTCCAATCATACTATATGTAAATCCACGCCAACTTTGAACCATAGATCAACACTAATGTCCATGAAAAACAATGAGAAGTCCAATGTCAGTCAAATCATATGAGGCCAGGCAAAGCTCTAAAATCAAATGCAAGCCATTATATAACACAAACAGATAAGAAAAACGAGAGAAATTATACCAGGCTTGTATTACAAAATCCAAAGATCCGTCATTCATAATTTTAAGGAAGGAAAATTCATAGTTTATGGATTAGATTTCCTAGATCCAATATGCGTACATCATAAAATAGTATTCAAAATTTGAAGTGAATCTAAATACCTCCAGCTTTAACAACATCTACAAGGTCATCCTTTAATATGACAAGAATTGAACGAGGTATTGCCCCAACACCTAGCACCTGTGTACTTTCTTGAATTTTTATCTCCTGATAATCATGGCATACTATAGTATTCTCTACATACTGGAATTTTGTGCCTCCACAGGGCTTGAACCCCTGCTATTATAAACAGCAAATAACCAACATAACCAAATGAAAAAAGATAGTCTTCCAATTTAAAAGTATACTCATTGGATTTACAAACAAGCACATAAACATTAAAATTTGAAAGGATACAAGTTCCAAAATCAATTTTGAGCTTCCAGGAAATTTTGTGAATTAAGAAAGTTGACCTACGAACTCCTCAACTTATTGCAAGAAGCTTCACATAGGGCAAGCAACTTCTAATTAACACTTTTCTTGTCTTACATTTTAATATATCATTGCATATCATATTATTTATTTAAGGGTAATGAAAAGGGAACAAATATCCGAGTATTGTAGGGAAACTGCAGAACTTAAAACTCAAACGCAAAAGATACCTGAATTGGGCAAATTGAAGGTAATGATATGGAGTTTCGAGCTTCCACCTCAGGATAAACTGGGAAGCTGCACACATACTTTGTTAACTGACATGTGACAAACTTATTCTGAGGTACATGGGACTAAAACAGATATACTTTCCAAGTTGTGAATGTACATAAGTTTTTTGGTGTAAAGTAGCGACAATGATATTTAAACCTAAAACCTCATGCAAACTATCTAAATTCCTCACTACTAGACCGAATCTAGTGAATTCGTGAGTGTACTTAAGTGAGTTGGATTTGCCCGCGTGGACACCCACAGTATGAGCATTCAATTATAGCCTGTAGTACCACAATAGTATAAGTTTATAAGTGTGCACTGTGCAACTAATAAATAAATAGAAGTAGGACACACACACCTGTTTTTGCATTTTTGGCACATGTACATCCTCTCCCCTTCATGCATCTTGATTGCTCCGGACCTGATTACTATCCCCTTGAGAGTGAGAAGAATTCCATGGTGCTGCACGCGAACACGTCCTATGCTTGGAAAATTTACTAATTACATCAAACAAAACAAAACACGCACACACAAATCAGAATTTGAGATGAGGGTCCGTTCCCTGAGGGTGAGGGGTATTGTAACAAACAAGTAGGGGGCAAAAGCAAAAGCAGACCAGGGCATGGGCATTCAAGGGGTGAGCCGCCGATGTTAATACGAACATGAATGAATTTTTTCTCACCCCCTTTCTTGTCATCCGCCATATCATTCAATAAGACTCTCTAAAACAACCCACAAAACATATCCAAGTCAAGTTTCCACCTTTAACTCCTCCAAATAAAAATAAATAACCGAAAGAGAGAATTACGGACGTGAGCCCAAAGGGAAGCTTCATCGAATAGTGGCAAGTAGGTTTTGGGTTTGTAAAAGAGGAGCTGGAAAGTGAGAGGATGGTGGTCCATTAACTCTGCCAAACTGAAGAAGAGAAAGAGGGTTGGTTAATTTTGCAGTAAAAGAAAAAGAAGAGAAAGTAGAAATGGCGTACTCGACGAAGAGAGGGAAGTGAAGGTTGAGATCGGGAGAAGAAACGATAGAACGAAGCTCGTCGGAGTGGTTGCGTACGAGAAAGTTGACCATTAGCTGCTTCCAGTAAAGTGGATTCTCCTTCTCCTTCTCCTTCTCCTTCTCCATGCTCGATGCCTCTGCTCTGCACACTGTCACTCCTTTTGGCGGGAAACGAATCAACGCGCCACGCTATTTTTGTAACGTCCTTCGCATTACATTTAATATCCTTTTGTTTATCATCGTCATATTTCCACTTATAAATTATAATAGTAAAATAAGAAGGTAGTATAAATCCAAACTAAATTATGTACGTAATTTTTATACAAGTTTTTCTTATTTGATTTTCTCTTATGCACTTAATTTTTTTGAGTTTATAAAGAAGTATAATATATTTTATTTAATTTTTTTTCTTAAATACTTATAGAGAAGTTTGTCTTAAATGGGACCTTAATTTTATAATTCAACATTCCTTCTATGATATGATCTGAACAGACCTCGTAAAATACTATAGACACATATCATCATCATAATATTATTATTATTAGAGTATATGAATGTCTAAAATTTATCAAAGTAGTTAATTTTGTTTACTGAAGTAATTAAATGTTTTTAATTCTTTTAAATATTACAATTTTTTTATTTATTTTTTAAGAAAATATACTTTAATTGTCATAATTTTTTCACTTAATCCCTTTGTTAGTCTTCTATTTTTTTTATTAACTGAATTTTTTGTTTTTAGTTTCATTTTTAATCATTACGAGTTTCTCTTTATGTCCTTCATTTGTACGAGACATAAACATTTTATGAACAAAACAAATGAAACATTATATGGGGGAAAATTACAAAGACCAGACTATAACTTTAAAGTTTAAAAGATTAAATGAAAAAACATTATGGCATTTAAAGAGACCAAAATCATATTTAAATGTATATAAAAATTCAAAAATAGCTAATGGCGTAAAAACCGTTGATTATCAATCTTACTTCGAAGGAAGAATCAATTAACAAGAATGTCTTACCTTAAATGATATTAAGGAGATATCGTATGATTCGAATAGTGCCTTCTAAAATAATGATATTTTTCTTCGTCCCCAGTTTGTTGGGCCATGTATAACGTACCCCTGTATGAAGAAGGGTGCAGCATATTTGAAATTGAAATACTATGGTATGGTTCTATACTTCTTTTCACCCATATACAAACAAAAATAAAATGTTTAATTGTTTATGAGAGAGTAAGTGGGGATTAGGCAAACCGGTATGAGTTACACAGAATCTTTTGTTATATGATTCGGGAATAACCTGTCATCGTATAACCTTAAAAAATGTAAAACATAATCAAGGGCATACTAAGGTCCAAATTAGCTAAAATCTAAGCATTATAAACTGTCAGAAATTCATCATCATAGAACAGTTAAATTTAACTGAATATTTTCTCTCAAATGTTTTTACATTCAAATTTGATACAAGATCCTATCCTTTCTTCTACAAGATGCCTGACAACTGACAAGTACATTTTGAATCTCTCAAATTTCAATTGCATTTTTCGCCCCACATTTTAGTCAACTTTTGAAAGAATGGTTGCAGAACTCTACATTATAAATTTGAATTCTGAGGTATAAATGGTCAAACTAATGTAAGTCAGATCATCATGATAGAAACAAGAACTCGCAGCACTCTTACATAATCTCACTCCAAAATTATAGGAGATAGGCATAGGAAGATATCTACTTCTGTTGAATGAATGTCGTGATTTAAAAATCATTAAGCTTCAGTGAAAAGATAATGAAGTAAGGGAGCAACAACTGCGACGCTTAAACTATTCCCCAGCAATGCATACCTGCATAAGAAAGAAGATTAGTTGTATAATAAAATACAAGCAATAAATGCAAGAAAGCATATAACTCAGCAATCTGACCAATTAATCACGTAAAGGGTATTCAGAAATAAAAAGAACTGAAGAGCTAAACACCACTAACAAATAAAATAAGGTGTTCCTCCGTAGAAATGCAGAAATATTGTTTAAACTGATAAAACATCATACCGTTGCTTGAGACTAATGTGCTCTGGAAACTCAAATTCTTCAGGAAAAGAATGTAGGTTTGCAACCTAGGTAAAATGATGACAAATACCTTATTGATTAGTAACATGCACTGAATCAAGATAAGAGACGACACATACATTCACGTGCAAGCTTTCTTGCATATATACCATTGACTAAACAATGCATGACATTCTTCTGAATAAAAAAATCCACCAACCTCTCTTGGTGTAAAATATCTAAGGCATTGCTCCTTCAGTGATGTTTTGTCCCTCTTCATTGGCTGCACATTCAAATGTTGAGTTGGGAAGGTAAGTAAAGAGTGAGACCAGTTTCAAGGTCAAGGGAATTGCTACAAAATAGTTAGCACCACACCTCCCCAGAAAAATAAAATGCTGGGTTTGTTAAGTTTATTTTCTAAATTATTTCAAGATCAAATTTGAGAAAATATATTTATAATCATTATAGTTTTCATGAAAAAAAAAAAACAGAAACTAAATGGTGATTTGAAAAGGTGAATGTCAATAAACATATTCTTTAGTATCATAGACAATATTATATTTCAATTAATATTCAAAAAATTTAACAGCCACAGGGGTAGCCATTCCAAGTTTGTGTCATTAATTTAGCCCTTCAAAGTCACAATCACAACAATTAATAGCTACCAAACATAAGATGGCAGGGATGATTATAAAACATAGAACAGCATCTGAGTGCTTCAAAAAGAATAAACAAATGGTAGTGTAATATAAATACATTTAGCAATATGAACAAGAAAGACTTGTATATGTACCAAATAGAATTCCTACCTGGACAGTTGCCAAAAGGGATCCAGTTCCCTTCACATATCTGTAATAACTTTTTGTAAAACAGCAGCAGCGCTTTGAATCAGGATAGACAACATCTAAGCTCTTTTTAAGGAATGGGATAGAAAATACATAGAGGTCAGATTATAACATGGTGATTTGAATATGTTGTAACCAATTAATGAGGCAAGGATACCCATAGCACTTCCCCACCGTTCTATCAAGCTTCGGGGAACATAATATTGGTCCAAAGATTCATATTCATGACCATTATTTTCCCCCAAAGTTCTGGGAGCGTCATTAGATAAACCAGTCATTAAAGCTGCAGATTCATCAGCTATGTCATTGCCAGGGATCTTCAATTCAAGAAATTTCTCAATAGGTTGACATGACTGCAACAAGTTATGCCTGTCCTCTTTTGATGAATCATCTTCATCAGCCACTTTATCAAAATATTCAAATAATGGCCTTGGAGATTGAACCAGCTGGTTGTTCAGACATTCATTTACAAAAGATGAAGGTTTTCTCTTAGCCTGAAAAAAAATATACACATAGAGGTCAAGTGATTAACCCACACAATTTGCATATCAATTGATTAACAACTTAACAAGAATTTTCAGTGATGTCAAAGTGCAATAGAAACACCAGCAACATCATCAGCACTGACAACCTCCATATGATAACCTTTACTATATATTTTACTCCAACCATCTCTTGGAAGTATTCAATCCAATTAAAAAACAATGCAAAAACTGTTCTTAACCAATATTTATCTTTACTATTTTATATTCTCACACACCTATAAATTAATAAGATCTGAACAAACATCCAAATACCAATAGCTATGCAACCCAAAAAAAAACTATGAGACTACTTTATAAATAAGTGTCTTCTTTTTTCTACTTTCCAAGTTGTAGCTCTAAAACAACAAACCAAAACAGAAAGCATTTTGCTCTGTGGTAGATGAAATAATTTCAAAATATAGTATTGTTTGAACCTGTCAGAATGATGGATCCAATATCAGGCTTAATTCTGTTCCACCGAGGATCCAATTTATCATATTTCATTTGTAAGAAAACATGTTACATTAGACGTCACTAAATCATAGAGGTCCAAACTCCAAGTAATTCAAGCAGTTATATTAGATATTAGGATGACAAACTGATAGGATGGGTTTATAGAGGTCCAGAAGAAGGAAAATTAAGTGGCTTAATGTGTGAATGTATTGTAAAGAGCAGTTATCAAACAGACTCTGGGTTGCTAACTCTAGTTTACTAAACTGACTAAAGTTTAGTTAGTTAGTGAATACTCAGCTGTATTATGTGTATTGTATATTTACAGTATGTAGAACACTATATATAATTATATATAATACAGCTGAGTATTCACTAACTAAACTTTAGTCAGTTTAGTAAACTAGAGTTAGCAACCCAGAGTCAGTTTGATAACTGCTCTTTACAATACATTCACACACTTAAAGATTATATAAGATGGTCTTAAAATATTATGGTATTTATTTATTAATATTAGTTTTATTTTAATTTCCTAAAATATTTAAGTCAACAAGAAAACTTCCATTAGAAACCCTCACAATATTGTGATAAAGCCCCAACAATTTTTCATTCCATTTTTGAATAAAGCAATCGACATAAAATTTCAATTTCAATCTTTAAAACAGTTCAGAAAAGTAAGCACAGTTGCAAAATATTTGAATTATATGATCATATCCCAAAACATATTGCTTATTGCCAGCTGATTCCTCAATGACATAAAATACATCACAATATTTTAAAATGCTCATTTACATTTCAGATGAAAAAGAATATGTCAAGTATAAAGAAAACCTACCAGACAAAAATAACGAGGCCTGGAATATGGGATTCCAAACTGCAAAGGGCTCAGAATGAACTCCTGTGTTATAAAATTTGTTTTTTTCAATATTTCAATCAGTTTTGCATGTGTATCAGATGTCTGCAACCAAGGAGGGAAACAGGAAAAAATAATGAATAGAACAAATCATTAATGAAATTAATTTGGAGTCTTAGCCAATGAGTTCAATCAAACAGGACAAACCTCAAATCCAACGACATTTTCCACAAATAACATACTAGGAGGCTGCAGTAGAAATGGCATAAGCTCAAGAATCTGAAGAAATGAAAACGCTCGGGCATCACCAGTGTCCTTCTGGAGACCTAGCACAAGACTATTGAGTAACTTTTTGCCAAAAAATAAAAACCAATCCATAGGATGAGAAGAAGAAAAACTCACCTTGTCGTGTGTAAGGTTGGCAAGGAGGAGAAAGAAGCCATGCATCAGCACCATACTTGTCCAAATCAGCAGCAGTCAAGCATTGAATATTTCCCTAAATCAACCAACACAAGTTAATCCCAATAAGCCTGATCATTTCATATTATATGTATATCTCAGTAATCTAATGTTTAAATTCATCTAGTTTGACAATGATGACAAATCCAAACTCAAAAAAAAAAAAAATTTTAAAAATTGGCTGGTAGGAAGATGAAATGAAAAACTTGACTTAGCTTAGCTTGTCAACTTCAAGCTTATGAGTAAATTCCATTTATTCTGAACATCTTAGAGGAATTTAAACGCTGACATAATGCATAAAAAATAACTGAGGAACTACCACTTGTAAATGAAAATAAGAAGAAAAAAAAATATTCACCTAACCACAGTTAAATGAATTAATGCATGCACAAACCTTTCAAATCACAATTCATAACTCAATGCGCAAATAGGCAAACAGAACTCCAACCCAACACTTTCAAATCGGGAAAAAAAAAAAAAAAAAAAACAAACCTGATAAGGACGATGAGCGAAATTGTGTTGGTAAACATCATTTGCAGTGTCGTTAATTTCAAATGCCTCGACCACTTGGGCGTTCACGTGGGCTTTCATGAGCGAGTACCTCTAAACAAGCACAAGAGCATTAACATGTTAAAATTGAAGCAAAAGTACTTGCTTGCGTAGAAGATGCGCATACCATGCCTCCGATTCCACTGTAAAACTCCAACACTCTCCAGCAACCTTGTGACTCCGATGACGTCTTCGCCATTCCGATGAACGCCTCTGAGTCTGAGCTATCAATCGCTTTGGATTAAACAAAAATTCGTATGACACCAAAATCCTGGTTGCCTCTTCCTAACCAGCCTTGACTTAACAAAGCTAGGGTTCTTTTAAATTTTTTAAATGATACACAAATAAATAAATAACGACAGAAAAAACTAATCAATTACTAGCATATTCTTTTAAAAAATCACTTCTTTTAAATCGTTTTTTTTTTATTTTGAGCAAATTAGTCACTATTAAATAACTAAATTTTTCTTTTCAATTATGGTTTTTTTATTTGCGTTCCTTTAAATATAAAAACAAATTTGGATTTTAAAATCACTTCTTTAAATTTTATGTTGTGTACCTCATCAAACTTTAAAAAATAAAATAAAATTATGTCCTAATAGTTAAAAGGCTTGGTCATTGAAGATGCTCCAAGTTTTAATCAAAATCATCAATTTTTATAATTTTAATTAATAATAAAAAGTATTAATAAAAAAAATAAAGATAATAATATTGACATTTTTCTTTCAACATTTAAACATTCATTCTCTAGAAATTTTTATAGGTATTAGTGATTAATAATTATATTCATTATATATTGACTTTATGGATTTTTTTAAATAATGATCTAATTTGACTCTAGAGGAAGGAATATATATGATTTATATTTAAAATAAAGTGTCATAAACTCAAATTACCATAACTTATAAAGAAATATTATAGAGATAAGTCTTACTATTTTAAACCTTTCATCTTCCTTTTATGATTCTTGTTGTAGTTGTGTTTTTGTTGAATTCGTGCCAATAGGAAGCTTGAAACTTGTTATTGGTTTGAGTTGAGGGAGACACAAAACTTATGAACCCTTTCTTCTTCTTCTTTAGTTGGCTTTGAATCTGAGGTAAGGGAAGCTGGATTGTCGCTTTTATTTGAGTTGTTAAGTTGTTGAATAATTCGCAAGTAAAATATTATGTAAGTTTTGGTATTTAGTGGCTATGTTGGTTAAATTGTAGTAGGTTGCATGTTTTGATAAGGTTGAGTTTTGATGCTTTGAGCATGTGTAAAGAAGTTTGAAAATTTGATAAATGTGATATTTGCATGTTACTTATGACTGTTTTTGAGTTGTGAAAAGTATTTATATGTTGATTGTGTTATTGCATATTGAAGTTGTTGAGTTCTAGGTGAAGGGAGTTGATCTTCACAATCTGCACAAGTGTAGAACTCGCATCGTGTTAAGCGCATCTTCAAAGTATATGACGTTATTTCAACATAAGGCTCTCTATCTTGTTATGCTAAACATAGGATCAATAACATTGAACATGAAAAAAATAGACTTATCTTGAATTGGAATGACGACATACATGATTCTAATAACGTTGAGTGTGACCCTAATGCCATCGGGCATGAAAGCACGATGAAGTCTTTAAATAGGTGGCACCAAGTCTTGAGTGTAGTAGAACCCAACGTGATTGAGTCAACACTCTGCCTAGAATGAGATTGGACATGGAACTTTCCCATGTTAAGCATGAGGTTTTAGGAGCCTTTGCCTTATCCACACTAGGTACGGGTTGTGTAGTGTCAATAGTGGATGGGACAAAGAGTTTCTTGCCTAAATGACATCAAATACATGGTGTGTGACATCGAACATTGACTAGTGAATGAAAATATGTTATTTGGTCGATGAATTGTTGAATATGAGTCAAGTAGAATAATCCATCATATGTTTTAAGTTGCTCAATGTTGATATTGTTGAGGATGCAATGAAGATGTAACAATGTTTTAATGTAGTGGATACTTTGTATTGCATATATTTTGTCCCTTTAAACTCTCTTACCCTTATATATTTCTATATGATTTTGAATGCGATGATCATATGTGATTTGAAAGCAAAACATGGATAAGCTTATGGAGAGAGATAGTGTAGGCCATCAAGTGGTGTTGCAGTTGATGATTTAAGGTTACCCTCGAGTAGTCATTGTATAAATAGTAAAAGTTAGTTAATTAATAATTTAAGTTGTATTATTTACTTTTATTGGATTACTGCATTTATATCATATATATTTATATAATTGTTTCGCTTTTATATATACGATGCATATTACATGTCTAGATATGTGTAAACTTATAACTTAATTTTAAATTTTTATTCACTACTAGTAATTGTGTATTAGTGTATAAATTATGATAGGTTGTTACATCTTTAATTTAAGTCAACACTTAGGAAACGTGGAGTCAAATACATTTCAATTGATAAATTAATTTCATTTGTTTATAAAATAAATATATATTTTTAATAATAAAACATTACAATAAAAACAGTAAATTTTTAATTAAAAATTTTACACGTACTACTTTTTTGCGTTGCAAGTAAAGTATATTATTGACCAATTCAATTACAATTATAGTTATGGGATATAATTTAAACCTTTTATTGAAACTTAAATCTAGGCTAATGTTTAAATAAAATAATCTTTTTTATTGTCGTTACAAAAGGTAATATTTATTGTCATTAAAAAATTAAGTAATCTTTCATTTGCTTAAACTTTTAAATTAAAAAGTCTACCAAAAAAATAAAATCAAAAGAGTAATCTTATTAGAAATGTTTCCCAATATAAATTTATGATTGTGCGTTATATCTTGTTCCATTGTAGGGCCTAGATATATTATTTTCCAATAAAACAGTACTTTAATGTACATGAAAAAAATACTTTATTGTTTATGAAAAGTTATATTGATGAAGCCCATATTATTATTCATTTTAGACAAATCTTATTTCTAAAAAATAAAGAGAAGAGATTTTTCGTCCATTGTAAAATTGACATATCACACAAGCTTTAGAAATTAAGACTAGCATCATAAAAAAAATTGTCATGCAATCTAATTTATAAGCAATCTACAAAGCATAATATTTTTTACTTTTTGAAAGTTCATTTTAATTGTGACACAATATCAGTATAAAGATTTTAAAAATATCAATTAATTAGAATTAAAAAACACTTTAAATATAAATTTTAATGTAATTATTTTAATTAAATAAAATTTATAATTTAATAATACTATGATAGTGTAAAAAACTTATGATATTCTACAACCATGTATCATGATTATCATAAGATAAAATCATGATCTAACATATTATCACATTTTTAAAGATTATTTTAATTTATTAACATTAATTGATATAAATGGATTTAACTAAATAGTTTAGGATTTGAATTTTAATGTGGAGTGAGAGAGAATGATTTTGTTGGAGTAGATTTATGAAAAATAAATATAGATATTATATTGATATATTATTTTTGTAAGAATTAAAAAAAATATAGATAGGGAAGAAAAAGGATAAAATATAAAAGCTGAATAAAGGGAAATAAAATAAGTTGTTTAGGGCCAAATAGTTTAGCCCAACCCCTCACACTCAGAGGTTGAAGGGAAAGGGTTGAGCCGAGGTGTGAGGTGTGAGGTGCCGGCGTTGCTCTTTCTCGGAGACATGGAAAACGACGACGTCGACATGCAAGCAGCCGATACCAATGAAGCAGTAATGCCCTCCCTTTCTTTCAATTTTCATTCTCTGCATTTCTCTATTTTCGTTGGATCAAACTTCTTTTGCCGCTGCCGCTGTTCAATCCCAAACCCTAATTTCTTCATTCATCAATGCCGGCTGCAGGATTTGGATGACATGAAGAAGCGCTTGAAGGAGATGGAAGATGAAGCTGCTGCTCTGCGAGAGATGCAGGCTAAGGTCGAGAAGGAGATGGGATCCGTGCAAGGTGCCTCCTTTTTCTCTCCTTTTCTTTTTGCTCAAAAATATTCATTTTTTATTTTGCAATTTGGTAAATTACATTCCATGGCAAGGAAATACTTGAGTTTACAGTAGGCTAGGTTGGATTGGGTGTTTTCGAAATTGGAATTAGTTCTGTTTTTTTTAGGACCCTACATTGAGGATTTGAGTCTTAACTTATTCACCTAGAAGATCTTTTGTGTTTTACTTTTTGGTTAGAAATGTTTTAATTACTAAACTGGTTTTAGATTCTTACCTGGTGCTGGTGGTAATGGAATGCCTTTCTAACTTGGTTATGAAATATAAACTATATCCTTGTACTCATTTGAGATGTTCGTGTTACGAACTGATTTAAGTTAATTTTTGTTAACTTCTGTTGGAAAATTCAGAAGAGCTCTTGCTTTAATGCTTTGGTTACAAGTTTTATTTCTATTTTTTCCCTCTTGTGTCTCTCTTTTCTTTTAATTTTTCTTCTCCTTGCTCTTCTGAATGGTATGACCACTTTTTGTTTTTTAAATGCACAACATATGTTATTACATTTTATCGTTGGACTCCAGTTTCTGTTATTGATTCTTATCTCCAAATAGATCCTGCAAATGCTTCTGCGAGTCAGGCCAATAGAGAGGAGATAGATGCTCGATCAGTCTTTGTAGGCAATGTGAGCTCTCTCTTCCCTTGTTTATATGATAACATTCTGTTTTGCTTAGCTGTCTTTTGTCATCATTTGATATGGGCCCAGGGTCTGAAGTGTCTTATTCAATTATGAGCCAAAGTGTATTGGACAATAAATATGTTAGACTTCATCATATTCTATCCTTGAAAGTTCTTTGATGATGAATGAGCTTCTGCTATTTTGAAGTTTCATTGTATTTCCAAGCAGTGGCGTCCTGCTTTGACGTAATGTTTTGACTGCAATCGCAGGTCATGCTTCCATCTACAAGTTTTCTGGTTTTGTAATGCTGCAGTTGAAAGTATATGTTATAATATATAGTTGGAGGAGAAAAAGTATTAGAAATGTATGAAATTAACAAAAGGAGTGGAAAAACAAAATATACAACACAAAAAAAAATTGAGGGATAGAGGAGAGAGGACAAGAATGTTAAAGAATTATTTATTGAGTAAAGTGATGTTTGTGGTTTTGTGAGTTTGCATATTTTTTTTTTTATGGAATGAGGACAGGAAAGAAACAAAGAATAGAAAAAACAGGATATGAATTATGAAGCTGTCTACAATTATGGGTAGAAAGGAAAAGTCTTTAACTAGGAAGTTTTTATTTTTATTAGTATACATTCCAAGTTTTTGCAATGGGATTGACAGAGGAATCTATTACGCCTTAGATCGGAGAACAAGAATCTGGACTCCTTCCTACTGGTGAGAAGAGGACATGCTTTATGGGTAAAGTACTGTGCATTAGTAACTGTTATTTGATTGAAAATCCAAAGGAAACTATCAGTGGTCCTTAGTGCTCAAGTAATGTGTAGGCAAGTTTTTCTTATTGTGAGGGACTGTTGTCATACCCTTTTTCTACTTTTGGACCTTGAGGAATTTCTTTAAGACTGTTGTCCCTTTCATTTTGTACCCTTTTCTAATATACTTCTTCTTCACACCTCAAAAGCTGAAAGAAAATCCAAGATATATATTTGAGAGAGTAGGGTTAGCAAAATCTAAGATCCTCCTTAGGATTGGACAAGGGAGGTAGAAATGTAAATTTATATTGCTTTTATATATGTAAATAAAACATATATATATATATATATGTATATGTATATGTATATGTATATATATATATATGTATATATATGTATATATATATATGTATATATATATATATATATATATATAATAAGGCTGAGGCATAATAATGATAATAATAAAATAACACTCGCAACTAGCATTTAAGTATCTTCTAATTCAGAATGCATGATACATGTGAGTTTGTAAGGTTATGTACAAGCCTTATTAAAAAACAGATGTCAGATACTTCTTGATTACATTTTTAATATTAGAAAAAACTGAAATTAAGTGGCAGAAACAGGGAATTACAAAGCGTCACCCACAGACCAGCAAAGCACTGAAACTTTGCACACACTAACTAATTACCCACAAATCAGCTGATAATTGAATCAGAAGAAAGTTGCAGGTGCAGAAGCCAAACCTGATATCATTCTCTCTGAAACAGAGCCATTCAAATCACACAAGGCTGAACATCCCAGCACCCATGCAGTTGCTCAAGATTGCAGCAGAGCTTCAAATGACACATCAGCAGTTGCTGCAGCAATTGTTTGAAGAACCCACACCACCCACTTGGCAAGGGTTTGAAGACCTGAATAACATTTTATGGATTTATAAAATTCCACTATCTAAATTTCTTTTCGTTTTCTGCTGGCACTCTATTCTGTGACCTACCTTGCATTTTACTGGATGAATTTTGCAACCACATAGGCCATGGCAAAAGATTTTTCCTCCCCTGAAACTTTCTAGCGTGGTAAAACATGCCATGTTTCAGATATAATACAAGCTACTATGAGATTACTTTGTTTCTTCCTTAATCTTAGAAGGGCTCAGCAAAACATTTAAATTGTTTGGTTAAAACATGAGTGTTTTGTATGCTGTTATGTTGTGAACCGTTTTTATTTTCTGTGGCCGAAATTAGCAAACTTACTCTAAGCCCAAATTTATTCCATTTGTAATTGTAATAATAATTTTGACAAAACCTACATTGGCATGTTGAAGGCAGGGTGTTGTAGTGCCTGTTTGTATGATGCATAAAACCAAATTTGGAGGGTAAATCATGTTATCTGTTATTTGTAATGGAGTTTTATCAAAGCAAAAATAATTTGCTTTCAGCCAATGGATGTTGAAAGCGTAAAAACAGAGCCTAGTTGATTTGCCAAAAAAGGTTGATCTTCATTCAGCATTTCAGTCCCGAGTTAGTGATTTGACAGCTGTCACTAACAAGTTCTATTGTATGTTTATATTATATCTACTTCAGATGGTTTTGTTGACAAGGCTTGTTGAATTTTCAAACAGTTACCTTTTCCAGTAATCATTGCGTTCATATTTTATCCAGTTTGGTGTTAATCTCATGGATTTGATTTTATCCGCAGGTGGACTATTCATGCACTCCAGAAGAAGTGCAACAGCATTTTCAGTCTTGCGGAACCGTAAACAGAGTCACCATTCGAACTGATAAGTTTGGCCAGCCCAAGGGTTATGCTTATGTAGAGTTTGTTGAGGTTGAGGCTGTTCAGGAGGCCCTCTCGCTGAATGAATCTGAACTTCATGGGCGCCAACTAAAGGTTAAAGCTAGAGGTTCTTGCTGTTGAAAAATAGTTAGCTTCCCCTTTTTTTTTATCATCTCTGCTTTTTTGAACATTTTTCAGGTAACCGCTAAAAGGACCAACATACCAGGGATGAAACAGCATCGTCCCCGCCGGGCCAATCCTTACATGGGGGGCTTTCGAGGCAGAACCCCATATGCCCCTCCTTTTATGTATTCTCCATATGGATATGGGTATATTAAGCTTAGTTTTTCCCTTTCTAATGTGTTTTCTTTTAATGCTGTAACAGCAAATTAATATCATTTGTCTGTTGATTGCAGAAAGGTTCCAAGGTTCAGAATGCCAATGCGCTACAGCCCCTACTATTGACTGTTCAATTCTGGTAGTATGGACTGAATGACACCCTTCACCCCCATGTGTACTATCATGGTCGGAGTTTTGGCCATTGAATGTGAGGGAGTGAACATCCAACACCCTGGATTCATTTGGTTGGTTCTGTGAGGATTAAACATTGACTTACCAGCAAACCTTGTAAAATTGTGGTGTTTGCACTTGCATCTGCGTTGCTTTAGTATCGGCATATTAAATTAAGTTCTTGTAAAAGTATCCTTCACAAGTGTGGTTAATACATGGGTTTTGCGTTTATCTGTTTTAGTTATAGTTGCTCCTTCGTGATATCCCGGCCTCATTGACCTTTTATATGAACAACTGAACACTATTCATGATCACAGAAGTTAGTGTCATGTTTACCAATAAATTTGACGGACTCATTGCTCGTTGCCTGGAAAATGGTAATCACAAGAAAGACGATTCCGACGTATTTGTGTGTGAAAAGGAGTAATTTATAAATAATTGAAGTATAGCATGTCAGTAATTTTTGAAATTTTAATAATTAAAATTATACGTATATTGCTGATCATTTTCCTGAAGTTTAATTACTAACACGAGAAAATGCATGTACCATTCACGTGACTTGCAAATCTTGAGCCTGCTTACTAAACGGCACGGAATTTGTAACTAATGTATGTACAAGTATAACTAAGTTGGACTCCATTAGTAAAGTAATCATTTTTGAAAAAAGGAAATAAATTTATCATTTATCTTTTGTAATATATAACTTAAATTTTAATATACTATCCATAAGGTAGAAATTATCTTAAGTATATTTTTAAAATAGTTATGATTATTATAAAAATAATAATCTTATTATACAAAATATCTATAATTAAATAATAATGTGAGGTTGTGTTAATTAAACTTTAAATAAGTAAATACTACTTCTATATCTATACATACTTTTTTTCTTTCACTTTTTTCTTGTCTATTTTTATAAGTTTGTCTTCTAATTATCAATTGCATTAATTATATCTTTTTAAAAAGTATTTTATTTAATTAATATTTCTTCTAGATAAAATATATTATTCCCATTTTTTAAATAATCATAAGATAATTTTAATATTTCTTATCATATCATCTTTATTTTTGTTTTATAATAAATACATACTAATTGTTATGTGTAAATTAATTAAAAGTTAAATAAGATGTAAGAATATATAAGAGTATAATTGATAACATAATAATTAACGTTATCTACAAATTTTAAAAAAACAAATAAATAGAAATAAAATTTCACTGAAAATTTGACAAATAAATAAAATAATAAATACATATACCGATTCGGAGAATATGAATAAACACATTTAGTTACCCAAAATAGTATATATCAAAATCTAATCTTTTTAATCCGTCATCGAAACCTAATTTTTCTGATCTTATAACAAAGATTATGTTTTTTAATCCCTGATTCTTTGTCATTCCTGCATAATGTACCAAAAAAAATAAAACAGATTCTTTACTATTTTAATGCAAACAGTGATTAATAAAAACATCAAATCCTACAAAAGCATATGGCATCCATCATTCCACGACAGATTCTGTGCAGGAGTTACGATACTGTCATAAAGTTTCGGAAGCATTAGCATTTCTGTAACTAAAAGGCAAAACGATTAATAGTTTTCTTTTTGGGACAATAAAACAAAGAGTATATATGTATATATACTACATTTCATTTCAATCTGAGTCAGAATCTGATAATCGTTTGTTTTGTTTTGTGTGAGAAAAGAATGGCTCTGGCGTCTTCTTCATCCCTTATCACGTCGAAGGTGAAACCTTGCCTTTTGGGGCCTCCTCGGAGATCCCCGCTGGTTAGGAATTGTGCCAAATCAACGGAGGCTTCGAAGTCAACGGTGGCGCGAATATCGACGAGTTGGAACGTTGATAGTTGGAGGGAGAAGAAGGCCCTGCAGCTTCCGGAGTACCCAGATGGCAATGAATTGGATCAAGTTCTGGAAACCCTCTCTTCTTTTCCCCCTATTGTCTTCGCCGGCGAGGCCAGGAATCTGGAGGAGAAACTCGCTCAGGCTGCCATGGGCAACGCTTTCCTCCTTCAGGGCGGTGATTGCGCTGAGAGCTTCAAGGAATTCAATGCCAACAACATCCGTGACACCTTCCGTGTCATCCTTCAAATGGGTGTCGTCCTCATGTTCGGTGGCCAAATGCCTGTCATCAAGGTTTTTAATTTTTTCGTTTGCATCATCTCATGTTTTTATTTCTTTCTTTTTTGTTGCTAATTGCTAATTCTCTCCCATCTTGATTTCGATATTTTGAGTGATGTTTGGATAAGTGAAGGAGTGACCCCTGATTTATGCCTTAACCGAAATTCTAAGGGATAATGTTGTGTTGTTCCGGACTTCTGGGTTCAAATTCTTGCTGTTGATCAGTTATTTCTAAGTTTGGCTTTTGCCTTGTGAGTTATACCAACTTGGAGGAGGAGGAGGAGGAGGAGGAGGACTGTGTCTTTTTTGTATTGTGGTTGATCTAATTCTTCCATTGAGCAAGATAATCTTATATTGTGCTTGTTTAGAATTTTATGATGAATGAGGATGGCATACTTTAACTGTTGGATGTGCTGATTCAGGTTGGGAGGATGGCAGGTCAATTTGCAAAGCCGAGATCAGATCCATTTGAGGAGAAAAACGGAGTGAAGCTTCCTAGTTACAGGGGTGACAATGTGAATGGTGATGCATTTGATGCGGCATCTAGAGTCCCTGACCCGCAGAGGATGATAAGAGCCTACTGCCAATCTGTGGCTACTCTGAACCTCCTGCGGGCGTTTGCGACAGGAGGTTATGCTGCCATGCAAAGGGTTAACCAATGGAATCTTGATTTCATGGAGCATAGTGAACAGGGAGACAGGCATTATTTCTAACCATTTCTAAATTTATTTCAGGATTTTGACTTGTTAAGCTTTATTAATTCTTATTCTTGTATATTTAAAATGGTTTAGATTGATGTGTTTGGAAATTGAACTGATTCTTTCCATATTTTGATCCAAAGATGGTGGAAGAAGGGGGTATAAAAGGGGGAACGGAAATTGGGAATAATTTTTAGATATTTCCCCTTTTCTTATTATGCTTCTGAATGGGATGTTCGAGAGAAAATCAGAAAAGAGTAGAAAGGATACCAAAAGAACTATAGTTGAAGACAACATTTGTTTGGCTAGCTGTGACACTATAATGGGAGATATTTCCATTGACAGTTGTACTAAAAAATGTTATGAGATTGAGAAGGAATTTGGATAATTTTTTATTTACAATATTATGTATTTACTTTTTCCCCTCCTTCAAACAAGGTTAAAATTACAATTGCTCCATTCTTCTTGTAATGATCCTTTACAACTAGCTTTAACTAATCCATATATGCTTCATCATTTGGGCTTTCTGCAAATTGCTACACCGTTTATTCCTGAAATTGCTATCTTAAGAATTTCTCAACTTTTATAACATCAGTTATTTTTTGGTGTGGGCCAACAGGTACCGTGAATTGGCTCATCGGGTGGACGAGGCTCTTGGCTTCATGAATGTTGCTGGGCTCACATCCGAGCATCCAATTATGAGTACAACAGACTTTTGGACTTCCCATGAGTGTTTGCTTCTCCCATATGAGCAAGCACTTACTAGGGAGGATTCTACTACTGGGCTTCATTATGATTGCTCAGCTCACATGCTATGGGTCGGGGAACGTACCCGCCAACTTGATGGTGCTCATGTTGAATTCTTGAGAGGAGTTGCTAATCCACTTGGCATCAAGGTGCTCAAAATGCTCTTTTTCCTATGGTCTTTCATATGCTTTTCGTATTTGTTTTTTTTTTTTTTTATATAAATAAATTATAATTTTTTTCCTTTGATTGTCAAAATTACGCCTGCAAAGGCTTAACTCAATTTATTAGTTATAATTATCTTATGATATGGTGCATAAACATTTAAACTACAATCCTATCTTAAAGGCTACATGGTTTTCAGGTGAGTGATAAGATGGTTCCAGATGAACTTGTTAAGCTGATAGATATTCTGAACCCTAAAAACAAGCCTGGAAGAATCACAGTAATTGTTAGAATGGGAGCTGAGAATATGCGAGTGAAGCTTCCACATCTTATCAGGGCAGTTCGCAGAGCGGGTCAAATTGTCACTTGGGTTAGCGACCCCATGCATGGAAACACCATTAAAGCTCCATCTGGACTTAAAACCCGCTCTTTTGATGCTATAAGGGTAATTTTCACTTACACTTGATTCCTTTTTCAACATATATATTTCTGCTTTATAGTCAATATTTAGGCAATATATAAGCGGCATAAATCTTTTCTGCTACTGCAAGTTGCAACTTTCCTTGAGCATGCAATTTTACGCATAAATCTTCTACATTAAAGAAACAAAGGACTCTTTTCTCTGAGTGGGTATTATTGTGATCTGTGTTGTCTCTCACTCTCACTAAACACATTTTGCATAGCATCTATTATTAGTATTTCTTTTATTTGGTGGTTGGCTACTGGTTTCACATATGAATTTCGAATGATATTTTCCTAACCTGAAATTCCATCACATTTACAATGAAGTGTTCACTGATATGGATAATTACAAATTCTGCTATTTTGTTATCATAATAATGGATAAAGCTAATGGTACAAATTGTTGAGCACCTCTGTCATTCTATTATTCTAATACAGTTTTGTCCTGGGGTTTTTGCTGGTAATAGGCTGAGTTGAGGGCATTCTTTGATGTACATGACCAAGAAGGAAGCTACCCAGGAGGGGTTCATTTAGAGATGACAGGGCAGAATGTGACAGAATGTGTTGGGGGCTCACGGACTATTACCTATGATGACTTGAGCTCTCGCTATCACACTCATTGTGATCCAAGGCTTAATGCTTCTCAATCTCTGGAGCTTGCATTTAATATTGCAGACAGGTTGCGCAAGAGAAGGCTCAATTCAATTAGAACTTAGACAAGAGGGGTCTTCCTTTGCTCCTGGACTGGATCACAAATACTGCCCAACCACCATATTTCTAATTTTGCTGCAGACCGTGAACAAATACTGCTGGAAGCCACTCCACCTTGTGTCATAAGAACTTAGAAGTTGGCTGACACAATTAATACTTGTGCAGTGTTATATACGAGTGTTGCAACATAGTTTAAACACGGTGTGCCTCTGGTTGTACTTGCAAGTTTGCATTTTAAGTTTGGAGATAGTATGTGTATTTATGTTTGAGTAATAAATAAATATTCTAAGTACCTCTTATATCATAATGCATTAGAGTGAAATTTCTCCCACAACATTTTATATAATAACAATTTATGAGTTTATTTCTCTTCATTAAGTTATTTATTATATCTTAAATTTTGTTCATCTGATTATATAATTTTTTTATTATAAATTATTGTATAAATAATATTTCTCAATTTACATGTAAATTATTGTATAAATAATATACAGTTCTTCTCAACAGTTTTCATAATTTCTCTTTTTTAATGCCAATAAGTAATAAAATGATAATGCGAAAAAAAAACGATATTAAATAAATTATTTCTCCAAATAAAGTGAAGCTTTTATACAAAATTGATCAAGGCAATATGTGATTTTAACTATCATTTTTAAGCAAAATCCAAATTTTACCCTGATTGTTAGAACTATTTGTACAAGCAATGAGTAACTTGGGCAATTATCCAAGAATATGAAAGAAAAATCTTAAGAATACCTAATCCTGGTATATAGAGCCACATCTAGTTACACTTGTGTATTTTTACCTGTGTTTTAAGAATTGGGCCAGATCGGTCGATTTGAACAATAATCAATTAGTCTATTGGTTTAAAAAAATCACAAAATAGATATGTATAAAACTGATTAAAAAAAACGGATTAATCAGCTAAAAAGTGATAAAAATTGGTCCAAGAATCCACTTAGAATCGGATTGAACCACTTTTTTTTTAATATATATATATATATATATTCTAATTTTTTAATAATATTTTTATGATGAATAAATAAAAAAATTAATAATTTATGAATTAGAATAAATT